GGAAACCCACTCAATCAATGGATACTTTACAATTCAAGTTTGTTTGGCGCCAGTTTTGTTTGGTGAACCTCAAAGAATGTTAGTTGCCCTGCTTTTGTATATAAACTAAATTCATATCATGGACCCTTTTCACCACCAGAGAGGGGTGTCCAGCTCATTCAGTTCAGGTTTGCCGGTTCTCCAGTAACCACCAGTTGCTTGTGTCCTCTTTTGGCTTCCTGGCAGGAAGTTTGCCCAAGCAAACCCTTACATGATCGACGCTCCAAAGGTCTATTGGGTTTCATTAGCATCAGCCTCACACAGCTCGCTTGGGGGCATATCTTTGGGCATTACTGAAAGCAGGTGACCATCAGTCTTCTGTTCCACATTTTGCTGATCTTCAAGTATATTTGCGAATCCTCGGGGATGAAGCTGCCTTGCGGAAGTTGGAGGACCAACAAAGGAAAAGGCAAACAAAACGCCAGAAACATGTTGTTGCACTTGCAGACATGGATGACTGGGAGGTTCCTGTTCCTGAAAGAAAAAAGAGGAAACGCAACCCAAGAGGAGAGTGAAACCAGCTTCTGAGCCGATTTGTGACAAACCTGCTTTTGCAGAAACAGCAGATGCAGAACCATTGGCCGATGCTGCCAGCCACCAAGTAGAAACAGAAGCAGTGGACGCGCCTGAACCCAATCACTTTGATGCAGAGTCAGAGGGGTCATGTGGTAGCTCCGAGTCTGAAGATTTACTCAATCTTCTTGAGTGGGCAAATAGACTTGAAGCCAACACAAGCGAAGCGCAACAAGAAACTGACACCAAACAAAGCTCTGCGAAAAGCAACAGCGAAAGCTCGAGCAGTTCAAACAGCAGCAGCACCAGCAGCAGCAGCAGCAGTGGCAGCGACCAAGAAAACCAAATCAAAGCAATGGAGGCGCCAGAGTCTACTGGCGCAGCCAAAGCAAAACCGAAATCCAAAGCGAAAGCAAAAGTGAAGCAACGCCAATCAGCGCAAACTAAGCCAGCGCCCAGCCCTGTTGCTATCACGCGCGCGACTTCACCAACCGCATCGAGTATGGCATGCACCATTTGACACCCCATTTCAAACGCGACAGAACCATTCAGTCCTATCAAATGAGCTGCCACCTGCCTCAGCACAATGTCGGTGACCAGAGGTGCTCTAGAGAGCTTACTGTGACGGTCACGGGATCAGAAGAGAGCACGAGCACCAGACGCATTCTTAAAGCTTGGGTGTTGCTTGGGCATGGCTTGCCAACGCGGGAGCAACACATGGATGCTGGAAGCCGCCAACAACTTCTCACTTCTTTGAAAGATGGGACTTTGCTGTCAGAGAGTGAGTTAGACAAGATCTCAGCTGCTTCAGAGAAGTCTGCCGTGGTTGCCCCACTGCAGCCCAAACCTTCTGGAGACAGTCCTCCGCCAACCAATGCCAAAACTTTACTCGGAAAGCGTGATGGGTGTGTTCCAGAGGACGCCCATAACCGCATGTTGGATTTGGCAGCTCGCGGTGCAATTCCCATTACAACATTGAGCCAGCGCCAACGAAACCGTTTGACAAGTGGCACAGAATATGGTGTCCCACCAGAGCTCAAAGAAGCTTTGACTTACGGTTACCTGCACCCAAACCTTGCACCACCTCAAGGGTTCCGGTGGGGGTACCAGGGTGGAAAGTGGATGCTGCGAATCCATGGTGGCTAAGCGTGCTTGAGTAACTGGGGAAACCCTATTGCACCTTCCCAACGGCGTACTCACTTTAATCCTTCTATCCCTTAATTGCGGTTGTATGTTATGTAAATGTAAACCTTGAAGAGCTTACTCAAGCATAGGAGCTGTCAACATGCCGCCTGTGTGGTCCAACGGTCCAACTACAAGCAAAACTGCTCTCGGAAAACAAAGGCTGTGCTCATGGAGCTTTGCAATGTCGCCAATTCACCCTTTCAGTTTCAATTTTCTTAGCCGAGCAAACGCAAGACTGAAACGTGTTCATTTGCAGTTAACATGTTTGTAGGCGCAGCGCGAACACCGTTTTATTCCAGAGACTTTTGCGCAGCCTGTCGCCTGTCCAGCTGCTATTGACCTAAACATGGTTCTAATCCCACTTCAACAAAGACTGTTTCTGCATGTTTGCTCCAAACTTTCCAACGATCCTTGAATAAAGAGGCAGCGACATATGTCACGCTTGTTTCTGTGCCGTGCGGCTTGAAGTTGATGATTTCGGTGTATTGTTGCAGGGCCCTTGTGCTGTGGCTGTGTCTGCTTTGGCGTTCACTGCGATTTCGGAACGTATAACAACGCTTTCCCTCCGTCGCGCTGTGGTTTGTTTCATGAGTGCTTTGGGAGTTGGAAAGAGTAGCGTCTTTACGCGTGTAAGATGTGTTGAGTGTGCTTGATGTGCTGAATGCTGTTTTGAGCTGCTCTGTTTGATGATGAAGACTTCTGGTTGGTGTGATGACAAATGACATGTTTCCAGTAAGTTCACGCTCTTTGAATGTAACTTATGCGCCAGCTCCTGATTCTTCCGACATTGCTGTGTGAAGGGTGATGCGATGACGAGTTTGACGACTGCCCCCCGTCGAGGCCATCAAGTTGGGTTCTATTGCTGCCCCGAGTTGGGCGGTGTGCAAGAAGTCTGTGTGTTTTGCTTGTGAGCTCAGGGCTCTTGCTGTGGCTTTGCTGCGCTCTGGGTTCTCTGCGTTCTCCTCCTGCGGTTCTCCCCCTTACAGCCTTTTGCAGTCACACTGCGGTCCGGAAAGGTGAGGATCACAAAGTGCATGGACTTTAGCTCATTTTGTTGATTTTCAATGATTTTTGTGTTTTTTGTTGAATTTTGGCGGAAACCTTATGAGAAATAGCTAGAAATCATTTTGTCCATTCTTCTCATTTCTTTTCATCACTTTTGATCTGAAACCAGCCAAGACACGGCCAGGCCACCTCATTTGCAAAGTTGTGTTTTGGCAATTCCCATCCCTTGAAATCTTGGGTTACAGATTTTTCTCGCCCAAGATGACGTTTGTTTGATGGGGGTGAGCAAAACTGAGCAGTTCAGGCCACGGGCCTGTGCTACGAAGACCTGTTTGCAGGTTTGTTCCTGGCTTCAGCACTCATATTTTGATGTAACTGCTCTACGGGAGAGCTTCCCAGGTATTGTGTTCAATGTTTTCAATTGATATTTCTCCTTGTATCATTTCAAGCGTTTTCCTTTTCGGGGAGAGGTTGCACGGAGTTGCACGGAGTTGCACGGAATTGCGCAAAACCTTTTCGGGGACTTGCCCCCCTGTGTCAGCCAATACTTCTAGTTCCCTTTGTATCTATTCATATAGGTGCTGAAACACGCAAAACGGAGCGATACGCTTGAACATGTAAGAAAACTGACTTTTCTTCAATGTTTTGCAGCAAAATCAAGCAAACCAATTGATTTCCGCGCACTTTGTGATCCGCACAGTTTGGGGACTTGAAACCTTTAAAGATGACAGTGTTTCCTGCGGGTCCGGTGGGCCCTCCTTGAAACACTCCCGGGATGGCCGCCAATACTTTCCCAGCTCATTCCCCTCAACCCCTTCAGGGTCGGCCCTTCCCCCAGTGCCAAATGTACTAGACAAAGGCCAGGCCCAGGCAAAGGTGAAGGTTTCACAGGAAGCAACCTGATAATGGTAACTTGTTAGATATAGCTAGCAGGCTAGCAGGTGAAGACAAAGGAGCCAAGCTCTTGCTGAATCATGTAGCTGTGCCAGTCCTTGTGCGTGTGGAGAGTTTGGGGCATATTGTGATGTCCGTGAGGGTAGCAATGAATTCTTTTTGGTTCCGATCCGACGGATGCTGAGATTCCAGTTGCTTTGTCTCTGTAGTCTGGTGCTCCTGCTTCCTATGGCGGCAGGTCAAAGCTAGGTAGTCACAGCTTGTGAAGCGTGTGCGCTAATGTAGGCAATGTAGAAAGCGCGCCTCTGTAGAACAGCGCTGTTACTGCAGACACCGTTGCTGGCGCGCATGCTGTGTGTTAGACTTCGACCGCCTGTGATTTAGCCTTTACCAGTGCGTGCGTGATGTTGTTTCTTTCTGTTGCTTTATTCCGGATGTTCAAATGAACAGTGCGCCCACTGTTTTTTCCTTCAGCTGTCTCCCACTGAAGAAGCTTTGACTCCTCCTACTCCTACACAAGAAGCTCTGTAAACCAGCGTATTTCAACCACAGTTTGGAGGCTTGTGCCTGGATACGTTGCAGGCCGCACAGTATAGCATCTTAGGGCGGAAACACATGTAGAAGTGTGTGCTGTGTGCTGTGTCTTTTTCATCCTTTGGAATTCAGAACCAGGCTCTAATTTGACAAGGTAGGTGGGACTAGTAGACTGCGGACTGGTTCTGCTGCAGCGCGCCATGGAGGGAACTGATCCTCTACAAAGGACACCTGCTCAACGGAAACGGAAATTGACAGCTAGATTGACCGACGCTACTGAGCGAGAAGAGTTGGAGGTTGCAAATAGCGGCAAGCCTGTTGCCTTCACCTCCACCAGCGAATTGCGAGAGTGGCCTCTTAAAGTTGTTCAGTCCCTCTGTGGGCAGGACACGTGCGGAGATCAGGAGTTAAGCCTGCGCCTGAAACAGCATTTTCTTCGTGGCGTTGTCCTCAACACCGACTACAGTGGCATTGATTGCCCGAGAGAGGCTTTAGAGTTGGCTGAGAGGTCTCTCTACACCTTGCATGGTGTTCAGTGTGTCGATGCCAAGTCAGCTGTGTCTGTGGGAAGGACTTGTGACAAGGGAACCCTTCAGAAGAAGGTTCAAGTTGCTTTGTCCCACACGTTTGAGGAGAGCCGGCGGTGCCATTTTGAAGATTTGCTAGACCGCTTGCCCGAAACAGGGCGAGAGTGGATCCGAGCTGCAACTGCAGAGAAGACAGCTTCCAAGGCGGTTCGAGCCGCAGCCTTTTCCAACATCTCCAAGTGGGTTATGGAGAATCGGTCCTGGTTGTTCAGCATGGAAGCAGTTAGCTGGTGCGCTGTCCACCAAAGGACCGGAGTTTTGTTTTCAATGTTCAGTTAATAAGCCCTGGTCCCAAATGATTTGGTCCCTGTTCCTTAGCAGCAGGCCTCCTTTAATGCACCAGTTTGTAGTGAACACCAGGTGTCCAAAGGGCAGTATCGATTATCATAGAGGTGTTGTTTCGGAGAGCTGGTTGTTTTTGGCGGGGGGTTCTTTTTTTCTGTTTGCATTTGCAGGAATTGCAAGGTGCATCAATCTTTGCTCTCTTCAAAGCCAGACTCGGAGTCAGACACGGAGAGCCGCACGCGAATCAACACAGCAGGGGTGACTTGCCACGCATGGAGCTCTGAAGGAAAAGGGGAGGGAGCTGCCCATGAGTCTGAAATCCCGTTGGCAGTTTGGCTGGGCGAAACCATGTACCTTTTTGAGCAGGGAGCTCAAGATGTTGTCTTCCTGGAATGCACCCCTAGGTTTCCTGCCCAGGATCGTTTGGAGAGCATCTTTTCCAAAATTGCCCATGTATTCTCTTGGCATGATGGGCCAGAGCTTCATGGATGGCCCCATCGAAGACTCAGAGTCTTGGCTGCTTTGATTTCGAAGGAGACAATGGAATGGCTCGGCTCTCCTTCTTTGACTGACTTGCAAGCGGATTACAAAGAGAGATTCCACCGCCAAATGGGTGCAGATGGATCCATCCTACTGCAGGCCTCTTTCGAAGACCGAGTTCAAGAGATGCACGCTTTAGCGCAACTTCGCAAGAACAACGTTTCTCTTGAAGAGATGGGAAATGTCATGGCAGACCCCGATCGTGGCAAGGAGGTGGCACGCTTGACCTTGCCTCCAGGTGGCATCGACCGGTTGGCTCAGTGGGAGCAGGAGTTCAAAGACAGGAGGGCTTCCGACCAGAGCTTGTCTGCTTTTCTCTGCGATGTTGATCATTCTGTGAATACCAAAGGCCGGTTGCGGGGCAAACCGTTGCGGAAGTCTTTTTTCCATGGCTAATTGAATCAATGTTTAACGCATTCCAATGGTTTCCTCCTCTAAGAGCTGGACACATGGCATCTGGCGTGTTGGGGAGGTTGGTGTTCTTTTTCCAGGGCCCCGTTCAACTGTTCAACCGGAATGTTGACAAATGTTCCTTTGCCGCAGGGCCAGCTGGGAGCCGGCTGTGGCCGACACAGCTGACACATGGGACTGTCATTGCTTTCAAGACCAATGAAGATGGAGAGGTGTCTTGGCGGATGGCCACTGCTATGGAGCATCTGGCGGCGCTTGGATGGAATGTTTTTGCGCCCTCTGATGCCTTCCCACTGTGCAACCTGAAGTTCGCGATTGAACACCTCCGATTGACTCCAGGGCAAGTGAAGACCTTGACAGGAAACTCCATGCACTTGCTCACACAAATGTCCTTCATGCTCTACATTCTTGCCCAGTGCGGAAGAAAGGTGGCCCATCGTTCCAACCCACCTGCTCGAGTGAGCTCGTGGGACGAGTTCAGTTAGCTGTTAGCTGTTAGACTTTCTCTTGGCTTTCACTCCTCATGCCAGTGCCGGCATTGGAATGGGGCGTGGCCACTATGACAAAATTGCAAGCCTAGCGCCTAGCACTAGCGAGGTAATTTGAACTTAGAACAGAAGGTGCGAGACTACCCTACATGTGTGAAGAAAATTGGTGTAGCGTGAGGCAGTTTGTGTGTGTGGACATTATTGTGTTGCATACGATGGAATTTTTCAATGTGCTGTGTTAGGTTCTTTTCAGCAGACACCAGCCACAAATGATCACTGTGGTCGCCAGGATTTTTGGTTCACTTGTTGCTGGTTTAGTGTGGCGGAGCAACTTGCTCCATCCAGCTTCCGGACCGATGGCAGACCTGGCAGACAGTGAGGACGAGTTCAATGTGCCTGGCGAAGAGGGGGTTGCTTCCGACCAGGACGCCGCTAGTGGATGTAGTGGTGGCCGTGGCCGTGGCCGTCGCGGCAAAGGGAGGGGCAAGGGGAAGAAAGGGCGCGGAGGCCGTGGTGGCGGTACAAAAAAGGCTTCCAAGAAATGCTTTGCTCAAGGTTGTGACCAGAAACCTCGAGCTCACTCGAAGTTCTGCCAGCCACACCACAAAGATGCAGAGGCTATGAGATACCAAGCAAAGAGCAAAGATGAGC